CCCCCCCCCCCCAACAAGGTGTGCCCCAGCCAGCGGTTCATCCCACATGGGATCTCGCCCCCCTGGCTGGTCTTGTGCGCTGTTTGGGCGCGCCGCCCCCCGCCGCCACTTTGGTTCCGCAAATGAAGAACCCGTTTGCGTGCGGGAGTGGGGCCGGCGCCCGGGCCGTCGGTGCGTGCAGACTCACGCGTTGGACAGGACCTCCAGGTAGACCGTGCGACTGGGGGAGTTGGCCGCCGAAGCCAGGAGCCGGCCCAGCTGGCTGTCCGACTGGAGGTTGCCGCAGGAGGTGAGGTCTGAGGAGCCGGCGCCGGCGCCAGGGGTGAACCCCTCAAACTGGATGTCCACGGCTCGCAGGGGGGCCGATGCGCCGGGCCGGGTGCCATTGGCGGCGGTCAGCTTGGCGGCCGCCAGGCGCCGAAGCTCCCCGAGCCCGACGCCGGCCGGCGCGATCCGCAAGGTCACGAAGACCGCCTCCCCGAGGGAGGGATGGCTGATTTTGACAAGGACGGGCGCGGCGCCAGCGGGGGGCGGCGGGCCGCCGGCGCGCGGCGAGGCAATCCCCCCGGCGGCCGGTGGCGGTGGCGGCCGCGGCGTGACCGGCGCCGAGGCCGGCGGCCGGCGTTCCGGCAGCAGGGTCGGCGATCCGGAGGGCAAATCCAGAGCCGAGCGGCTGCTGATGCCCCCGGCGCCCGGGCCACCGATGGTGGTGGTCGCCAGCTGGGGGTCATTCTTCAGGTCGATCTCCCGGGCCATGAAGAAGTCCCCGACCAGGGCACAGCCCAGCAGCTCGGCCGGCAGACGTGCCGGCTCGAAGAATTCCGTCAGATAGGTGTCGATCTCGGCGCGGCGCTTGACGTGCGTCGACTCGCTGACAAGAAGCTGGCGGGGTGCCGGGGAGGGTGGGGCAGAAGGGGCGAGGGACCATGGGTTAGCGGCGCCGAGCGGGACTTCGTCGGGCGGCGGGGGCGACACAGCAGCGGGACATGGCACGCACCCGGTGGCCTGGCAGGTAGGGAATGGGGCGGAAGCTGCCGCGGGCAACTGCCTGCGCCGGGAAGAGGGCCAGCAGGCTGACCTGGAAATCGAGGAAGTTCTGGTGGGAGCGCCAGATGAACCGCGGAGGCAGGCCCCCATTGAAGGTGAGCTCGCAGACGAAGAACACCGTGCGCGAATCGGCCTGGCGCTCGTGGCGGATGCACCGGGCCTTGGCCGGGATCGGGATGGTCGATGGCTGGCGCCCACGAGCCGAGCGGTCGGACTGATGGCGCATGGCAGGCATGCCACGCATGGATGTGTGTGTGTGTGTGTGCGCACACACAGGAGGAGCACGAGGGCCGCCCGGCGGGGGAGAGGCGCGGGTTAGAGGGAGACAGCCGGCTCGGATCAAGATGGACAGTGCCGGGGGGGGGGGGGGGCCGGGCGGGAGGGGGTGCACGTACGAGGTCACCGGTGGAGCCGGTGGCCGAGGCGGCGGGGGCCGCGGCCGCGGCAGGCGTGTGGCTCGGCGGGAGGGGCGCCTTGGCCGGGGCCGGGGCCGAGAGGGTCCGAGCGATGGCAGGCGGCTGGGCGGCCGCGGCCGCGGCGGCGGCGGCGGCAGCATTGCCGCGAGCCGGCAGCGGCGGAGGGGGGCCAGCCCGTGCGGCCGCCAGGTTGCCAGCCGGCGGAGGCGAGGGAGACCGGCCCGGCGGGACCGGCGAGGAGAAGGTGCTCGGCGGCGGGGTGAAGGCAGCCGTGCGCGAGGGAACCACCGGGGGAGGCGCCGGCGCAAAGGCCGACTTGGTCGGTGGAGGGGCGAAGCCGGGGGTGGCGCCGGCGGGCGGCCCGGCAAAGGCCGCCCGGGCGGAGGCCACGCTGCCCGAGGGGGTGGGCGAGCGCGAGGTCATCGGGGTGAAGGGAGCCGGGGGGGGCGGAGCCGCGTGGTGCCCACCGGCCGGAGTGGTGGACGATGATCGGGCTGGGGGCATGGCAAATTGGCCAGCCCTGCTGGCGGTGGCCGGTGCCGGGGTGGGGGCAGCGCGCGGCGAGGCCACCGGCAGCGAGTCGAGCGAGCGCGTCCCCGGGCCGGCGGCCGACCCCATCCCGGCGGCCGCGGGCGGCGGGAAGAAGGACGCCGGCGGGGGGCTGAACTTGCTGCTCCCGGGGCCGGGGCCCCGTGCGGAGGCGATGCCACTGGGCCCGGCCTCGCGCAATGGTGTGCCGTAGATGCCGCCTCGGGTCGGGGGCGTGGCCGCCGAATGGGCCGGTGCTTGGGAGGTGGTGGCGGTGGCGGTGGCGGTGGCGGCCGCCGGCCCCGGGGCCGCCTGCTTCAGGTAGCTGCTGGGGACATACCCGGTGGCCGACGAGGTGGCCGACTGGACCCACACCCAGTCCTGGTCCTGGAGGTTGACCTCGGCGTCAGCCAGCACCAGGTCGCCCAGGCGCAGGGACAGCTCCTCGGCAGACACGGCGGAGTAGTCGCCGAGGGCCTCGAAGGTGACCTGCCCGGTGGCGGCCGGTGCGGCCGGCGCGGCGGCCGCGACCGCGACCGGGACCAGGACGCTGGCGCTCAATACGCGCGGGGGGGTGAAGTAGCTGCGCGGGACCATGCCAATCTTGCCGGCGAAGTTCTGCACCCGATACCAGTCATCATTCTCCACATTGACCAGGATCATTTCCTCGGACTGAGCGGTGTGAGCAGTGGGATGGCTCGGGGGG